GGTAACTTCTATGAGGAAATTGTGTCCCAATCTTGACAAAGAAGATGGGCTTGATACGGTTTTGGAAGTGCCCATCCCGGAAGAAATGTTCACAAAGATGGGGAGCACTGCAGCCCACAGATGGCAGAATATGCGGAACCTGATGAAGGCTCAGCGATTGGATAAGCAGTCTGCATATACCACCGCTGCTTCAAGAAATGATCATTTCACGTTACTGTTAAAACTCGTTGGCTCAGCTTTCATTCCTTTCCAGGCTCAGCTTGACCACGCTATCATTTTGCCTATTAAGGATGGTTCCATCGTAAGGCCTAACAAACTCCATGCATCTCTTTATCTACAATTGTTTAAAGAAAAGATTTCACCTTATGCATTTTGTTTTTCCAATATAGTTCTTAATTTAGCCAATTTTATGGTTTTTTTTTTCCTGTCGAGTAGATGAATTTCGTAAGGTATAAATTCCGCAGGAAAAGTTGTGTTGATCATTTCCATGTCGTGTTATTTGTTCTTAATCTTTTTTTTTTTTTCCTTTTGAATGATAAATTAGATGGAAGAGTCGTGTGGTCTAAACTGCATTTTACTTTCTGGACTATTTTACCTCTGAACGAAGATTTGCAAATTGAAAGATATTGATGCACGGGGCACCCTTTTACAAGGATCCAAAGCGAATGGTTGGATAGTATGTCGTAATATTCTGCTCTCCTCTATGTTCCATGACCTGTTCTACAAAACAAACAAATGCACTAATAAAGGACTTGTTTTCCCATAATATCTAGGAAACCAATTTATGTATGCTTGATAAGAAAGAAAAGAATTAGTTTGATTTGTACGAGCCATGCACCCCTAATCGGTAATTCTTTTACTTCTACTCTTAGGAAGCTTCCACAGCAAAATATATTGTACAGCAATATTTAGCAGCAACTGGCGGCCATGCTGTGCTAAATTCAATCAATAGCATGTATGCTGTGGGGCAAGTGAGCATGGTCACGTCAGATGAGCCCGAGAATTGTCAAAACGCAAACGCTAAACCTAAGCGCGGTTGTGAAGTTGGCGGCTTCGTTCTTTGGCAAAAGAACCCTGATCTTTGGTACCTTGAATTAGTTGTTTCTGGCTGCAATGTAAGTGCCGGAAGTGATGGGAAAGTGGCATGGAGTCAATCATCTTCAACTTCAACTGCCTCAAAAGGTCCCCCAAGACCTCTTCGTAGATTCTTTCAGGTACTCCGCTTCGATTGCTGGTACAATACCTCTTTGTTAAAATCTTTAGTTATCAAACGCATCTGAATGTGTCAAATTTACGCCTTCGACTAGTCTAAATAAAAGTTTGCATATGCTAAAATAAATGAATTAGTTGCTATATTTATCCGAAATAGATATCTGAAAGTTAATTTAGGAGAGAATAAATACGATCGGCAAAAGTGGCAAGTACATCGTCTTAAAATCTGAATATGATTTGTAAAGCTGTTAAGTCAATCGAGTAGCTCGAAAGCTCGTTAGAGCTCGGCTCGTTAAGGTTCGAACTCAGCTCGTTAATTTTGGTTAACGAGTCGAACTCGAACTCGAAACATGCTCGTTTAGTTAACAAGCCGAACTTAAGTAGCTCGTTAGAACTCGTTAATGAAGGGCATATTTGTCATTTTAGAAATCAAAATTATAAAAATTAAAAATTTTAGGTTTTTATTAAGGTTAATTTGCACGAACTCGAACTCGAGTTCGTGAAGCTCGACTCGTTTGTGATAAACGAGTCGAACTCGAGCTCGAACTCGAGCCACATGTACATTTAACGAGCCGAATTCGAACACATTTTAAAGCTTGTTTTCCTAATGAGCTCAAGTCGAGCTCGGCTCGAATTAAACTCGAGTCAAGCTCGGCAGCCAAATACTCGACTCGATTAACAGTTCTAATGATTTGGTTGTGAACACTGAGCAGGGCTTGGATCCCAGATCAACAGCCAACTTATTCCTAAAGGCGGTTTGCATCGGAGAGAAGAGGATCAACGACGAAGATTGTTTTGCGCTCAAGCTGGAGACAAATTTAGACATCCTCAAGGCTCAAAGTACCCCGAACACAGAAATCGTCCACCACACAATCTGGGGATACTTTAACCAGCGGACAGGGCTTCTCGTTAAGTTCGAGGATACAAAGCTAGTGAGAATGAAGGCTGCAAAGGGGGATGATAACGTTTTCTACGAAACGAGCATGGAATCGTTCCTGGAAGATTATAGATATGTTGAAGGCATTAACATAGCACACAATGGAAGGACTAATGCAACAATTTATCGGTACGGGTCCAAATTGAATCGAAAATGGAAAATTGAGGAGACATGGAGGATTGAAGAGATTGACTTCAATATATGCGGTTTGTCCTTGGATTGTTTCTTGCCCCCTGCTGAGGTCAAGAAAGAGATGGAACAAGAAGAGCAAGGGATGGGATGACGGCACACTGTTTTCAGGTGAAACGAGCTGTATTAACTCCAAATTGCTTGTACATATAAAGTGAGTGGCAGATTAACATTTTTATTCAAGTTGTATTAACTCCAAATTGCTTGTACATACAAAGTGAGTGACAGAAGTTTTTCTGCTGATTAATCTCTCGTCGGATGACATACAAGATCGGCATGTATATTCACCAAGTCCATTGGAAGAAGTTGGAACTCGTTCAAATTACATCTTGCACTAGGTTCTGAACCAACATCCACATATAAATTTTGTAACGTGCTGCAGGTGTTAAATTTGTCTCAGTCGCCTGTAAAATCGTCGTTGAAATTCGATGGGAGCTTATATTCGATTTCATTTTTTTTTTTGTTTGTACAACTAAACTCTGGTTTTCCTATGTTCAGCACTAGTTTTTTCATGATGTCTTTAACCAATTACCTACCAATTTAATGCTCCAAAACGGGCTCCGGTTAGAAAATGAAGGGGGAAAAAACTCTTCACTTTTAAAAAAAGGGTAAATTATATATAATTTCCCATGGTTTCATCTATTGTCACACGACATCCTCTAACATTTTAAAATATCTATTTCACCCTCTACGATTTTATATAAAGAGAAAACTTGGCGAAAAATAGCATATGTAGCGTCATTAATTGAAATATCAATAATGCCCTTACTTAATCAATCAATGACTTAACCATTTTATAGAAAAGCATATGGAGACTACATAGACAAATACAAAATTATAGGAGGTAAAGTGAACTAATTTTTAATAGACTATAATTTTTAATAGAACTAATTTCACACAAGGTTAATTACATAATCAAGTAATAAAAATTTTAATAAAATAATCCCAAACCAAATCTAAAATAAATTAAAACAGTATAAAAGTAGAAAATAATGTAATACATTATTTGTCCAAACAGAATAATTTCAACTTCACACAAGTTAAACAAATTCATTTAGGATTAAATGGTTAATGCCCTTGGAAAAAAAGAGTAATTTAGTTTAGTTAGATAAAATATTTTTTATATTTATTAAATTATTTTTAATTCATAAATGGGTTATCGTGGGTGATCCGAATTCGACTTGATTTCTTTCCCGGTTCATCGGGTTCGACTCGATTCTGAACCGAATCCGGGAAACCTCAACCCAAACCCATTAATTTCGTGTTAGGTTCGTATCGTGTTTTCAGGTCGTGTCAAAAATTGACACCCCTGTCTTCCACCATGCTAACTCTATAGAAAGACTTTAATACTCTTCTTTTCACCTTTACCAATATGCTAACTCTTTAGTATTTGCGTTTGTTCCTTATGTTACCCAAATTAACATTAAATTGCACAAAAGTCTACATCAAAACGTTTCTCGTGACAAGTTAAAGACGAAACTAACAACAATTGGCTAGGAAATTGAGAATATATTAACAAAATTCAAGCCAAAGAATGTGTCATAGTATAATTTCAAAACTAAGAGTATGATTACATACAGTCACATAATATCAAACCATTAACAACTAATTTGAGAAAATTCCAAATGAAGGCTAAATAGTTTCTGGCACATAGTCCATTTTCAGCACTTAATGCAAGTGGCATACTGCTTTTGGTTGTAAGTGGTTTCAACAAGATATTCTATTTTCCTCCTGTGTTTTTTCAAATTTCTTAATTTTAATTGACTAAAATATCACTTTAGGAACAAAAGTGATAAATATGCATAAGGTAAATTCTTGAAAAATCTTCATATAGGAGAAGGGCTAATTTGGTTTTTTACTCGTAAGCTTCACACCGTTAGCATCCTTGAGAGTAGTTAATGGTAGTAATGAAGATTTAAGGGGTAAAGTGGAAGAAACCCGGAAAAATTAGGGTAGATTACATATGATTTTCATATACTGCCACATGACCCCCTTATATCAATTTTTCGCTCATAATTTTATGTAAAGTGAAAATTTGACAGAAAATAACCTATGTAATGTTGTTAATTGAAATACTAATAGTGCCTTTATTTAAATGCTAAATCAATCGATAGCTTAACTACCTTGTATAAAAGCATAAAAGAATTACATGGATAAATGCAAAAATCAAAAGAGGTAAAATGGATATTTGTACAAATCATAAGGGGGTTACATGGAGATTGAGATTTTATCTCACTGTTTTTAGAGTGTATTTGATATAAACGCCATAACAAATTGTGCATTCTGTCCATTTTTCACCATACATAAAATCATAAGAAATTATGTGGCTTATTTTGAAAGTTTAAGGGGGTAATATGGCATTATGTAAAATTACAAGAAGGTTATAACTTATAAGTAGTTTATCCAAAAAATTTATCTATGGGAGTCTTGAGTTTTGGTGCAAATATTTTTTGCTACTTTTATTTTTATTTTTATTTTTACCCTAACTTATTTCCATTGTAACTACCAAAGGATATCATTCTAATATAACTACTCATAAACACACAATAGTCTTAAGTAAAAAATCTTAAAAGAGCAAAGTCATGTTCACTAACCCAAAAAAAAAAAAAAAAAAATCAATGTAAAATAAATTCATAAATTAATTTCTAAATTGCACACGTATGGTGCGCTGTACCACTAGTACTAAGGAAAACGCTTGCTGCGGCTGTCATATTAGCAACCATTGCCGAAGGAAGAAAAACCCTAGCCGCTGCCTGCGCCAAAGTCCTATTTAAGCATCATCCGTTCAGCGCCTCCAGGTAATGTTTAGGATCGATCTTCAGGAGCTCTACTTAATCCTTCATCCGTCCACCTCGTCTTTGACTCCGCACTAGGAAATAAATCCTCTTCAGAACCTAATATCATCGTATCACCCTCAATTTGTATATTCTTTTCATTTCATTTTTTTTTTGGGGTGGAGGGGGGGGGGGTGTTGTATGTCTACAATTGCATCTGGTTTACCCTCTCCTCGTGAAATTTAATGAGTAATTAAAAGGTGTACGAGGAGATATAGCTGGTGCAGAAAGTGGAATTAGGATGGCTTACCAGCCCATTGCATTGCTGCTATTTTATAAGCAGCATTAATTTGCCTTGGCGTCAAATGGACCTTCCGATATTGTATTTCTTAGGTTTAACGAATTTTATTTCTCTTTTTTGCTTATTCTTTTTTTGGTATAAAAAATCAGCAAATTTGTTAGTTAATGGCAAATGACGATTGCTAAATTCTTATCCTACACACTGAATATTTTTATGTGTTGACTACCCAACTCCGCTTATTATCTGATGCCATTTTTGTTGGGAATTAAGCTGTATTTTACGAGCATTTTAAGAAACTTTTCTATGTTCTGTGACTTACTGTTTCGTTGAAAGAGTTTAGGCATGCATCAGGGTAATTTATGATGGAAGTTTTTTCTTTATTTATTTTTATTTATTGGTTAATAGTACCTTTCCAGTGGGAGAGCAAATGATGAAAATAATCTTATCCTACACACTGAATTTTGATGTAGACTAAACAACTCCGCTTATTATCTGATGCTCCCTTGGTTCGCTGATTTTGCACTTAACTGTACTTTTCTCAGCTTAGCGGCAGAAAGTGTTATTTAGCGGCAGAAAGTGTTATTTTGATTAGATTAAATTTTATTGTGGCCCCCTTTTTAGTCATCTGAACTCTGAGTAATAGAACTCTTAATCTGGTTTCTTGATTTTGCTCTGTGCCCTTTTAGTTACGTAAGTTACGAGTCAAGTGTGGTTGATAAAATCCTAGCCTCTTTTGGTTCAGTGATGAGAAAAAAGCAGACGGGCGGTCTGAATCTGATGCCATGTTGAATGTCTGCATAGTTCCTCTTTTGGAACATCTCTGAGACGTGTATCTACCTGCTTCAGTACTGAGTTTGTTTGGATAAGAGTTTATTTGGATGATTTATTTGAGATATTTACTGTAGCACTTTTTGTGATGTGATGTATGTGAGATAAAAAGATAATTGGGAAGATAAAAAGGTGATTGGGATTTGTGAGAATAAATTAAGCAAACCAAATTCTCTCTATCCAAACAAACTCACTTTTATCAAGTTATCTAGTACAGTTTAAATAGTTTCTTATCCTTAGCTTTTGTTTTTTATGTGATTTTAAAGATTTTTATTTCTCCTTGCTTACTGGCCGTGATGAACTGCTTAAATATGTCTGGACATATGAAATTTGTCTCTGATTAAAAATATGCAGAAAATCTGAGCCAGTTTCATTTTTTGCGCGGGCTTTTAGTGCACAAATTTCACGACCATGTACTTGATACAAAAATCTTTCTTTTGTTTCCTGCCTTCTGCTCAGTCGGAAGAGAAACTGTCTAAGGTCTACATTAGCCTGTGATCTCTAAGTGTGCTTGAATTCGGGGAATTATCTGCGAGGAAGAATGGCTGCATCTGTAAATGGCTATGGGAATAGGCTTTCTGGCTTGCTTCAAAATTTAGCCAAAATGATTTTTGTAATTTGATGCTTGCGAAATTGTGTTTCCGTGTAGCGTAGTTTAATGTGATTGCTTTATGGCGAGTTTTCGTCGAATATTACCAGGTGTTTGTTTACCTCTTCTAATCTTGAGCCTGCACTTTGCACAGGTTATACTAGGTATCATCTTAATAGCATACATATGTCGCCGCTCAATTGATTTCCTCCAGTTACAGATAATGTGGAGTATGAAGCTAGTGTTATGCTTCACCACGACGGCTGTTCTGTTGACAGCGCTTATTGAATATGCTTGTTAATGGATTTTGGTCAAACGTTTCGCAAGCCTGTAAATGGGGAGGGATGGTGATACCATCCCAGGATTTTGGCACTGTATTGTATAGTATAGTAGTATGTAATATGAGATTCAAGCAAGCGGATTTTAAAGTTGTGAAAAAAAAGAAAAGAAAAGCATAATATATATAACTGGTATTACACTACTTACCTATCGATCTCAACTATATATTGTTGCTATACGTTATATTGCAAGCCTATACATTTTTTGTGTTTTATTATTTTATATACATGTTTAATTTGGTTGTTGTTCATTTAAATGTCTTTCCACATATAGCAGACTGTTTGTGCACATTTGTGACAGAAGGATATCATTCTAAATTTTCCTATGCACAATCTATTTCATTTCTTGTTTTCTACCAATTATTTATACAAATTCATTAAATTAAATGATTTTTGTAAGCGATGTCTAACCATATCATCCAACCATTAAGCTTATAGATCAGCCCCTCAACAATCTTTTGATTTCTTGCATCATACTTTCCCGATAAGCAGTCCACGCTTACACTGGCCTTTAAAAATTGCTTATCAAAAGCGTGTTTGAATTGACAGCGAGACTTGAATACAGGCGCTTTTAATAATGCAAGTCCAAAGCCACTACATGTTCGTTAATAGAAATACAACAATTATCATTCTTGAACGACGTAATAATTTTTAAATACGTTGTAACTCATTACAAATTACATGACCTTTTACACAACAGAAGTATTCGGTTACTGTTTTTGTGAATTCTTATAAGTATATTTGTTGAACATTAACATTAATTACTGTGAATTCTTATATATTTGTTGTGTTGGAATTGCGTTATGATCTCACTGTCCTCCTCGTATTGGTCGTACGCTTCTTCGAGTCAAGGATAGCAATGGAGCAGAGCAAAACAGGATGAGGGGCAGGTGACCGCTCCTGAACTGTTCACGGCAAGATTTTGGCAAAAAAAAAAATGTGCAATCCAGATCACTAATTATATATCAATTTTCACAACGTATGTGAGATCTATAAAATTTTGTACTAAAATTACATATCGTGCAAATAAAATTACGTCGTGTATAATTAAAATTACACGCTGTTAAAAATGATCAAAACTGCTGGACAAGGGCAACCGTTCCTGCCCCTGTCCAGCAGAACGAGACAGGGAGCGAAGGATGAAAAGATGGGGATATTTTTCTCCCCTTGCTCCAAATTGGGTGCGAACAAGGGCCCTGCCATGCTCCCCACCCATAATTATATATATGTATTATCATGAAATATATATTATGATATTATCATGCATAAATATATAGTACGATATAAATAATAATATGATTTTTTTTTTGTGCTAAAATGATATAATTTCTTCTATCAATTTATTGTTGATACATGTTGCATGTTGTGTATAAAGAAACAATAGCAATTAATTTAGATTTTATATGGCATCAAACATGAAGAAATAAATTCAAAAGATCAAAGTGACTTTATTTCACGTTCAATGTTTTGCAAAAAAATTTTAAAAAATAATTAGTAGAGCAATTATTAACGTTATATATATACAATTAAATTAAAGAAAAAAATAAAAATGATACCAAGCTGTGGCGCGGGGGCTGGGGATCCGGGCGGCCCTTGTGACTCCCAAGCCACTCCATCGCCATCGCTGGTGTCGTATACTGAGGTATTACACTCATTTCACTCGCTCCAATTTAATACTGCCATCTCATCTGGTCGAGCCCGCCCCCGTCGGTGGAGTTTTAAGACCCACACGTTATCCGATGCTTCGCAGTGCACTTGATCACTCCACTCATTCCATCTCTCTCTCTCCCCCACAATCCTCAGCTCAGACTGTCGGTGTCTGACATTGTAAGCCTCTGCATTCTTAACTAAAGGAAACTGAAGCAACCCCAGACGACACAATCAATTCACCCCTGCACTAGAATCGATAAAATTTGGACTGAATTTAACCTTTTTAGGAGGGTTAGTGTTTTTTTTTTTTTTTTTTTTTTGGGTGGGGCAAAAATATAGTAGTCAAATATGAAAGACGAAGAAGCACAGACAACGACAACATCAGCAGCAGCAAGTACAACAACAAATGCTGCTGCCAACAAGAAAGAGGGGTCCTCTGAGGGTGGCTTTTTGGGTAGAAGCAAATACAAGTTCTGGGCCTTGGCTGCAATTCTTCTGCTAGCATTCTGGTCCATGTTCACTGGCTCTGTCACTCTCAAATGGTCTTCGGTTCACCTCAACCATGTCTCCGATGACCTTTTTGACTCCCCACTTCACCACGACCTCGATATTCTGGTACTACTCAATACATTTTTCTTCTGTTTATAATTGTTTCATTTTTTTTTTTTTTTTTTTTTTTGCAATGTTTGGGTGTTTGCGGGTTGGTGTATGACAACTTAGTCCTGTTGTTGATGCAATCTTGCGGTCAGCCTTTAACCAACTTACTAGCAAAATTATCTTTGCTACTGCTACTTCCTTGAAAATTGATTTGTAATACTCAATCAAACAGCTTAACTTAGGTTGCCTTGCTTTTGATTGAAACTGTTAGAGGCAGTTTATGTTTAAAGATCAAGCAACTTATAAACATGTTACCAATACTATCATAATGCATACATGCTCTTTTAGTAAAACTGTTAGGGATGTATGGGTTCCTATTAATGCCTGACAACGGGGCTTCTATTCCAGGAAGTGGAGGAGAGGGAGAAGATGGTGAGGCGTTTGTGGGATGTGTATACTCAGAGCAAGACTGTGAAGTTGCCTATTTTCTGGCAAGAGGCTTTTGAGGCAGCATACGAGGATCTGATTAGTGAAGTCCCCAGGGTCCGACACGCTGCCATTTCCGAAATTGCCAAGATGTCGTTGGTGCGCTCCACGCTTATACATCAACTTGAACCATCTTCTCACAACTCTATAGAGAGGTAGATGCACATTTTACATTCCTTTCTTTCTTTTGATTAGCGACGACCCTTTTCTCAGGTCTGTGCTACAAGTACAAAAGAAAAAGAAAATCTTTTTGAGAGTTTTGATTTGCTCTGGTATTGCTGGATAAACCATTATTAGTTTAATGCAAAGAAGACAAGGAGTGGCTGGTTCAACATTCTATTTGAGTCCTTGAACAAAGGATATAAAGGAAGATCAGATAGAAGTAATACCATTCTGGGCCAAACTAATTTCTGTGGAAAGTCTAAGCTGTTTTCATCCTTCGATGTCTTCCAGACCTGTGTTCGTGCTTTCTGTGCGTTGTATAGAACTTCCTTGTGTTGACGTTGCAACTTGCAAGATTTAGAGTCAGAAAGTTAATTCTTCTGCTAGAATATGGAAATTGGCCTCTGTTAGATAAGCTAAGGGCAGAATATCTCATAGATGGCCATTATGCTATAGAATTTGGATACTGGATCTGCTTGATCTCTGAGTTATATGGTTGTCAACGTTGACACTTGACACGTTCATTTGTTTCTTTACACGTAAATCTTAATCCGTAGGTGAATTCCCATATTTTCTGGCTTCTGACTGCAGGCGAGATGAATTCTTTAATTGTTTTCTATGACGATAGCTAAATGATAGTTTTTGGCCAAAGTTTTACTCCGTGGTTGTCGCCTTACCCTCAAACCTAAATAAAAAGGGTCGTTCTCGTATTCTCATTCTACAATCCTTGGATCTTGTTTTATTTCTTTTTTGGCATCTTTGTCTGCGTGTTTTGGTTTCTAATTATTGAATCTTCTCTGTTTCTGATATCAAACTAAGGACTTCAGTGTTAGACTCGGTTGTATCTGACTAATACGTGTATGTTTTATAATTTGGAGTTATGAGTAAAACTGAGGTACTAAAACTGATTTGTTAAAAAGATCAAGTGTGATTAATGAGTGCAACCATAGCAATTTGAAGATCGAATATGAATCCAATCTAAGTAGTAGGACTGGGACTAAAGTGCAAAAAAATCACACTTGTTGGCGTCTTCATAAAAAATCACATGGTAAGTAGTTCACAGAAGATTTCAGCTCATAATTTAGCAATTCAAGGCAGTAGTAGGAAAGCATCATTGTAAGTTTGTGACACCTAGCTCGCACAATTACTTGTATAGAACTACTTAAGCTAAAATAGGTAAAAAAATTATTTTTTCCATTAACGTGTTTTAACTCATTTCTCCTTTAGGGCATCCACAGAGAGTAAGCTAGCAACCCAACCGGGAGGAGAAAAAGTCAGCACCGACAGAGCATGAGGATTATTAACAGTGCACTGCATGATCATCTGGTCGCTTAATTGCTTGTACCGGCCAACATTTAAGATTATTTATACGTTGAAGTGTAAAAGATTTTGTGGTAGTAGTTGTAGGCGTATGCAAATTTATTGATGACATTTTGACTTTACTCAATTTGATAGCAAGTTTAAATATCAATTGTTCATGATGTTGCCTCTGTGCCTGGGATTTGTGCCTTTTTTTTTTGGGATCGGTATTTGTACTTGAACAACTGCAGACTCCAACTCAAGCAAGCATGAGCTTGGATCTTCCCAGCTACTTTCATTGCATCTGGCATCATCTCTGTGTGAAAACTTGACATTTTTTAGACAATTTGCTCTTCGATGCCAAAAGATACAAGAAATGGCTGCAATGATTCTTCATTGAATGTGAGTAAGGCTAGCTTTTGAGCGCGACTCGTACCTTTCTTCTGTATATGGTAACTTGGTACTGCGTCCTCTTTTGCTGTACTTCGCTTTTTCTTCAACCACGCCCAATTTTCTCTGGTTCTCTTAGAAGATAGCTAGGACAAAGATTCAGTTATTATCTTGATGGACGTTAGTGTAGTTTCATTGGATAAATGAAGGTTATTACAGCAGGTGTTATGATGTGGTAAACGACCGCTGAAAGGAATGACTGAAACCAGAAAAGGCAGCATCAGTTTAGGGAAACCAAATGTTTGACAAATCAATGAAGATTATCAGATAGAATCAAAACATATTTCTGCAAACTAGCAAGTTTTGCAGAATTAGGACATACTCAACAGAGGATCAACGAACCTAGTAGTTTAGGTGTCCTGACCAACCCCAGGTGAAAAAAGGGAAGAGAGAGAGGGAGAGAAAATAGAGTATAAGCTTTTATTGAGTCAAATCGAGCCAAATACTTGGTGTTTAGACTCTATTAATGTATTATATGAACGTGATTCAAGTTCCGCTCGAAT